AGCTGGGGGTGCTGGGGCTGGCATAGGAGGTGGTGGGGGGGCTAAAAAGGCCAAGGGTGGGGCAGGGGGAATGAAGTCAGGAGGGGTGGGTGTGGATGGGGAGGAAAGAGTGTGTGGTGGGGACAGGGCCTCCAATACTGGGGGTGGAGGTGGGGCCATGCTGGGCGGGGGTGGGGGTTCCAGCAGCAGGGGAGGCGGTGGGGGTGCTGTGGAAGGTGGAGATGGCAGTGGCAACTCCCCTGGAGGTTGTGAAATGTCCTGGGGGGGCCCTGGGGCTGGGCCTGGGGGAGGTGGGGGGATGAGTAGATCCTGGCCATACTGCCCAGGCCTCAGGTCACCCACAGAGCTGTACAGTCGGAGGTTGCCATTGACTAGTGAGCTGGTACCTGAAAGAAGAAGAGACAAAGATGGGGGGCGGAAACAAGGCAGACCAGCCCTGCCAATTTCTGTTTACCCAGCGCAGGGGTAGGGGTGGGCGCCCAAGAGAATGACTGGATCATTTTCTCCTGAACACCAAGAGAGGGAGCAGCCCCGTGTCCAGTCTCCTGAGCTGTCCTGGGAGTGTCCCCCTTCTTTCTAGGGAGGGTCCCCTGCCTGTCCCTGGCACAGCCTTTGAAGCCTATAAGGAATAACCTCCATTTGCCTCCCCAGAGTCACGCTCTAACCTGCGCCGGGACTCCCTTGCCCTCTGAGATGGGGGGTGGGGACAAGAGGGCCAGGGCTCTGGTTCCTCTGGCTGCCTCCTGGCTGCGTCACAGGTTGGCAGCAGCTGCCTTTCCTGCCCCGCAGACACAGGTCCTGTCGGGATGTCCCTCTCCCACTGTGTTCAGTCCCTGGGTGTCACTGTTCCCAGGAGACAGGAGTCGCCTAACCAAGCTCACACTCTGGTACACCGTCCCTTCACTCAGCTTTCTTCAGTTATCCCCTTTGAGTGCGCCATCTGTTTTTTACTGCGACCTTGATCTTGGCCAAGCCAGAAAGTCCAGGGTTCACATCCCAGCTTTACCACTTATTAGATGAGCGACCTTGAACACACTAATTAACCTTGCTGAGCCTCAGTTTCCTCATCTATCAAAGGAGCATGTTGTCCGTGCTCGCTTCTTACAGCTGTTGTGAGGATTAAATGAGAGAATCCATGCAAATACACAGAAAGGGCTTGTCATGGTGCCAGGCCTCTAGTAGGCAGTTAATAGAACGGAACCACTTTGACTGCTACCATCTGTGCTGACCTTTTCAGACTGTGTGAGACAGGGAAAGTGGGAAAGAGATAGGAAGTCATGGGGCAGGGGCGAGAGAGCTCCTCAGTGAGGAAGGCTGGGTGACAGACCTGCAGGAGGGAGCAGTTTGCACAAACAACTCCTGCTTTCTAAAGACCCTGAAGCTACTAAGAACCCAGCTGTCCACTTCATAGAGAACGGAGGCAGATTCTGGTCTGCATGATGGAACGGGGGTGTGCAGAAGGAAGGTGGCCTGGACAATCTGGGTACTAAAGAGATGCTGAGAGTCCCTGGCCCCAGCAGCTCACATCCCTCTGTTATCCTCAGACCAGGTCCCCAGCCCCCCTCCCAGAGTCTACTTTCTTCTTAGTGGCACCCATCCTTTGCTTCCCTCCTCTCAGTCCCTAACAGTGTGGCGAACCTGGGGAGTGTGCAGCTCTGAAGGGCTCCTCCCAGCTGCCTGACTTCAAACTGAAGAAACCAAGAGCAGGGAAAGGGAAGACTAACGTTCACTGAGCATCCAACTGTCAGGCAGGAGTTAGGAGCTGGGGTACAGCAGCAAAAAACCAACAAAACAAAAAACGGACAAACACTGGCCCTCCTAGGGAGTTTATGCTTGAATGGGACAATGAACATAACGTGTGAGTACATTATTATCACATTAGAGGATGAGTGCGATGGGAAAAAATACCAGCAAGGGAGGGGTGCAGCGGGTGCAATTTAAATAGGGCAGTCCAGCTGGGTGCGGTGGCACACACCTGTAATCCCAGCACTTTGGGAGGCCGAGGCGGGCGGATCACAGGGTCAAGAGATAGAGACCATCCTGGCCAAGATGGTCAAACCCTGTCTCTACTAAAAATACAAAAATTAACTGGGCGTGGTGGCGTGCACCTGTAATCCCAGCTACTCAGGAGGCCGAGGTTGCAGTGAGCTGAGATCACGCCACTGCCCTCCAGCCTGGCGACAGAGCAAGACTCCATCTTAAATAAATAAATAAAAAGTAGTCTGAGAAGGCCTCGCAGAGAAGGTGACATTTGAGCAAAGAAGGAAGGAGTGAGGGAGACGGCCACACAGATGCCTT